TATATATATATATATATATATATATATATATATATATATATATATATTCCTTCCATCTTATGTGGAGGAATCGACCTGCAACGACCTAAAATTGGTATCTATCGAAACATATCAAGAAAATGAGGCAAAAAAGAATAATATATCTGGTAGGAAATATGTAATGGAGTACTGGGACTTAATTTTGTATTGTATTCAAGGGTGGTGTCTGATTGGTTTGAACTTGGCTTTAAAGATCAAAAGTACTTGGGGATCTCAAGTTCAAATCCAAAGAGGAATAAAAATCCCTTTGTGGTGACTCCTAGCTATCTGCAAAGCAAGTGGTTGCACTGAGATTAGTCGGCTCGCATAGCGAGTTGGATATCCAGATTAATAAAAAAAAAGTTTCTTTATAATACAAATAGTTTTTATTCTTGTCATTTTGTATGTAAGCTCTTCATTATAATACAGCCTACTGGCTATTTTCTCAATCAATACAAAATACTTTCTGCCATTGTTGAATACTTAATTTCATAATTGATTACTTGTTTAGATTGATTTGTAGAACTATCGCGAAGGTTATAAATAATTTTATAATGTATTTTTATAAGATAATGTAATTTTATTTATATTAAAACACATTTTTAAAGTGCATTTGAGTGATCCAATTGTAAATTTTATAATGTATTAAAAATATATATCATTAAAAAAAATCTTATTTTTTAATGTCGGGACCGGTTAGGACCGGGACCGAGACCGGCGGCCCATAACTGGTTATGAAGTACCTTGACCGATCATACCATTTTCGACCGGGACCGGTTATGAGAAAGCTTGGGACCGGCCCGGCCCGGGACCGGTTTTTGGCCATCACTACCCATGAAATTTTAAGGCGAATAATGTCGTTACAAGTTTAAACACAGGGCATGAAATTAATGGAGATGCTTTTAATGATAATCACATGACAGGAATAAGAATCAAATACGATGCAAGCATTGTGGCAAATTCCGTTAAGAGAACCAACTATGTAGCATCTACACCGAGAATTTAGGTATTGTATATGTCATTAGTGTGATTCTTTGTAGGGTTAACCATATTCTAAAACATGCAAAAAGATCATATGATAAATGAGATTTCGAGTAAGTGTTTCCATAATCTTCTTCTGCCCGAAGAAATTCGAGATGTGAGTAAAACTCAAATTGGAGAAGAATATGGTCATTGGGTTCCTAACGCTTAGTACTTGTAGTACATTTTTTATATTATGTAGATAATTTGCTGTCAAGATGAATATTCTCAACCAGCAATCGAAGCTGTATGCATTATATGAACTAAGCAACCGTCCGAGATCATTCAATACACAAACTGCTAAATTTATTCAAGTGACCCACAAACGACGAAACCCTTCTGGCCCAAACCTAGACACTCTAAGATCTTTTTCAAACCTACTCTTGTTTCGAGTCAAGAGATAGATAAACGAAGTAATCCTTTTAAGTTTGTTTAACGTCCCCCTTTTGTGAGAAAACAAGATTGACAAAGTAGGAATATTACGAGAAATATTGTATATGACCTGATATTTACTTGTAGAGCTGGATGTTATTCAATATAGGTTTAAACTCGATGGTTTAACTCAGTTAACGTTGACTAATTCTAACATTTGGTCCAGGGCTTGTGTAGCAACGTACGGTATGAGTAGTATTATGACAAATTACAAGAATTATACGTGGTAAATTAACTAGAGTATTGGTCATGACGTCCAAGTTTGTCTCTAAAATCCATGTCCAAGTTGACTAACATGTATGATACGACCATAAATGTTACGTTGAAGTCAAGAAAAGAAAAAATGGAATATAACGAAGGATAAAAGAAGAATAGAATGAAGAATGAAGAATGAGAATGAGAATGCATCGGCAAGGAGGGAAACTGGAAAAGTAAGAGAATGAGATACTTGTTGTTAGAATAAGGGGTTGTTTGGCAATTGTTGAATGGTTTGATACAAAATGATTAAGTGGTCAGAATGATTAAAAGACTCTCATGATATAGTGTAAAATGAAATTAGGGCTCTTAATGGTTTAAGAGAGATCCATGATACAAAATCATTTAGAGGATTTT